TATGGGATTGAATTCTCATTTTTTTCTTCTTAAATTGAATGAGTTTAGATGAGGTCTCACCGGTCCTTTACACATTACAAAAAATAGAGTACGTTTGTGGGGTTTTTTTTTTTAAATGTTTTGGAGCACTAAGAGAAGATGAAGCTCTTTTTATGGAGAGCAGCAGGTCTGTAATTCTTCACTAGAAATCTCCAGACAATCTTGTGACTGAGATATATGTATGTGAATGTTATTCTTAAAGAGATGAAGCTCTTTTTATGGAGAGCAGCAGGTCCGTAATTCTTCACTAGAAATCTCCAGACAATCTTGTGACTGAGATATATGTATGTGAATGTTATTCTTAAAGCTATATAATACAATACTAATCTGCATTTTTAACATTTCTGTTCAGTGTTATCTGTCCAGAATTAGTAAAGGACAATAGGGTAGAAAGAATGAGAAAAAATAAATTATAAAGAAGAGACAGTAAGACCTGAAAGTTCAATATTATGTGATATGGAAGAAATATGTAGAATGCTTTTGATGCTTTCTCACTTTCTCTTTTAGTTTTCTACAGCTGCCATGGAAGGGAAAGAATAGGTCAACTGTTACACTCCTGAATATATTTTTCTCCAGCCACTATTGTCTAAAATTAAGCCAGATAATTAGAGGGCAGAAAACACCTCTGAAGAAGAAAGTTATGGCCAAAAATATAAAAGGTGTAAGTGTCAGTGCAGTTTTCAGAATTTTATCAGCAATGCATAAATATTTTTAAAAAGTTAAACATTTGGCTTGTGTACAGCCATTATTATGGGTGAAGACTTAACAGAGTAGCAAACTAAGCACTTATTTATTCAATTAACAAGTCTAACGTCATTGCTAATGATAATGACTCTGAACAGAGGGGATTTTCAAGGCTTATTAGTTCTCCAGGCTGGATTTACTTTCTCAATTCATCTTTCCTTATCCTATTTCCCATTAACCCCCTTTAATAAAGAAGGAGATATTTTTATAAGTATGCCATTCCCAATGGACTTACTATCCTTAATTTTCCAACATTACACTGAATTCCACCCCAGTTTTACAAGTGGCTTCTCCATGGTCTGTACATTTTTATGAATCTCAATTAAAAGCACTGCATGCTTCCATTACAAGAGGGAACTATTGAAAGTAATACAGACTTGCTAAAGCATATTCAAAGCCACTGGATACGTCATTATTCAAAATTACTCCGTTCATGTTCAAGTGTAATTACTATTTCCCATGCCTAGATTAAATGCTCTTTTGGTCTCTGCCATTTTTTTCAGTTTTATAATAAAAAAGTTGCCAAGTTTGAAAAACACTGCTGTAGAATATCAGTGGCCAGCCAGCTACTTATGCAGCAGTATTTTAAGCAACATCTGAAGAAAGAAAAAAGAAATAGATGATGACATAATCTGGGTTAGCCATTAAGAATCTAATATAAATATTTATAATAATATAAATATAAACAATCTAATATAAATGGCACTACA